TGTGTATATATATATATATATATATATATATATATATATATATATATATATATATATATATATACACATACACACACACATACATACACACACACACACATATATATACATATATGTCTTTAAGGAAGACACAGTAGAGGTATATGAGACACAATGAATCGTATAGTAAAGGTAAACTCTGTGATAATTTACCCACTTAAGAAAAACAGCATCATCCAATGAAACTGAAAAGCAACAAATTTTAAAACTAGTAAAAGTAAATGGATTTTTAAAAAGCACACAAGACACAATGAACCTATGGAACCCATTGCCACAAGCTATCATGTATGCCAAGGTCTTAATAGGCTACATATATAGAGATATCTACATAAGAACGTTCACTGCTAGATCGGACAGGCTAAAAATCAAAAGATACATTAAACACTCATGTTTCAAAGCATAAGCTAATCATTAACCAAATGTCAGGAATAAACTTTCCCTATAGGTAGATTGTTCTCTAATTGTCCCCTACAAGGTTTCTTGTACCTTCCTCTGAAGCATCTGGTACTGACATTGTCATAGACAGGATATTGGACTAAATGAACCACAAATGCATTTGGACAAATGTACCTGAAAAAAACATCCGTCACAATATTTCCTGTCACAGTAAATGAAATTTGAGATTAAAACTACTGACTGTTTCATGATAAAATTGGAGGCAGTAATCACAAATTCTCTCCCCTTTGACATTTTTCAAAACTCATCCATGGCATCTTCGAAGGAAAAGCTTAAGATGGCTTAGTTTCTTTTTACATTCCATGTACGTAACTTTTTTTTTCGTATGTTTCCTCTTTGTTCTGTGGTTTATATGGGAGATATTGCCTTTTTACTAATATTACTATTAATTCTTGACTAAATCTCTTCTTTTCTCTCTCTCTTTTTTTTTTTTTGGCAAGAGGACTTTGGTTATTTGGCACCCAAAATTAAGATCTGTATTATTACTGAACATCTTTTCTGTACACTAGGATTGAGAAGTGCATTGAAATACACAGTTTTGTATTCATGAGAAAATGTCAAAATGCCTTTGACACCAACTATTTGTTTAAATATTAGAGGTAGGGGGAATCTTAATATTATTAAATGTACCAGAAGAGGACAGCATGCTTGAGAAAAGTACTTACTACATTCCAGAAACTGTTTTAGTCGCTCAAATACTGCATGTAGAAATCCCTGAAAAATATCAAAGTCACATTTCTTTAAAAAGTGAAGCCCATTGTGGACTGTATGCAGGGAGGAAAAGTATTATTTGCATACAAAAGATATAGGATTTCACTAAAGATCCATCAAACTGAGAAGTCAGTTCAGAAGCAATTGCAGAGTTTAAAATCATTCCCTACATTACTTCATTACTGTTAGAAAAATTAAATACAAATATAATGAAAGTAGATTTTTCTATTTGAATTATATATTTTATATGATACACAATTTTCTTTTGATTTTTACTATTTTTCATTCACAATCCAATCATTTCTCAAGGAAAATAACAAAAACGCTGCTGTAGAACTACTAATAATGACGATCTTCCCCCTTTGAACCTCTCCCTTTGTAAGCTAACACTTTATTGAAAACAAGAGGTGAGGGTTTTCTCCAGTGAATGAAATTTCAGTAAATCATACTTAATCGTGAAGCTATGGCTAAATCCTGTGGTTATTTATGAGTAAAAAATGTTGCCTTAGTGATAGAAAGAAATTAGACATTTATTTAACATTACATCAGTCTCAGGCTAAGCACTTTAATAAACTTAAGTCATAAAGAAACATTACACTGAGATTCTAAGTGCTTAGAAGCAAAATTACTGTAGGTGTTATGACCCCTGAAAATAAAAATATGTCCTGTGACCTGGCAGAGTAGCTCACTCCATTGCCAATTTATATATAATTCATTCCACCAATAGAGTGTGTCTAATATACTCTTATGAAATCCAAAATCATAAGAAATTTCTCCATCACGAGCGGCTGCACCTTAGCATTCACAGCATTAATGAGAGATATCATACACATTGATAAATGGGTATGTAGCACTGAGCAAATGACTAGCCCAAATACTGATACTGCAAAATAAACATAAGCCAGATATAAGCTTGATAAGCACTTATAAAATGAATGGTTATTTTCACCCATTAAAGTATGAGCACCTATAAACATATTTATTAAAGTAATTGGACAGTTTCTCTAGCTGTTGCTCATAAAATTACACAGTTTATAATTACACATCAACTACTTAAATAAACTGTTCTTCAGGTTTCAAAGATTCCGGAATTCTAAATCTAATAAGACAAGTGCAAAAATACCACAAAAATATGTCATTTGAAATGGTTCTTTCAGAAACAGTGAGAGGCTCTGAAGATGCAGTATAGATCAAGTAATGAATAATCAGAGGGAATTCAACTATTTGTATGAAATGTCAGTTCAATCAGGAATCCTATTTTCAATGGTTTTGATTATGCCTACCTGCTGGTTTCTTGCCAAAAATAAATATCAGGAGGATTGATTTAAATCAGCAAGCAGCTAACCTTGATTTAAATGATCAATTTACTCATGTTTTGCATTTGTACTTTTAAGTTATTTTCCTAAAGAAAGGTTGATTCTTATTGGTTGACAACCATTAAAACATGCTGATTTGCAACTAAATATCACCTTTACACAAAATCTGGTGCTTCTTTTAGATAACCATTTATTTAATCAATATCGTAGCTTAACTTACCTTTATTCAGATTCTTATTTACTAATTTTAATCGTGTTAGAAAATGGCAAATGATGCATTTCTTGTTCATTAGATAAATTTTTTACTTGCTATTTGTGTCAAGCTCTTTTGGGATGGAAATTCAAATTCAATTTAAAATGCACAAAAACAATATCTAAAAATTGTTTTGTTATTAGTTAATAAAACTACCTAAAATGTTCTGGATACACACACACACACACACACGTAAATATCAAAACATGTTCTGCATTTAAAATTATCTGATTTATTAAACAAAGGAAGTAATATCTGCAGTGAATTGAAGTGATTGTTCCTAGTCAGCATGTCCTTAAAGATTTTAAAACTAGTAGATCTCATCCTCTCACATCTAGTTTTTAGTCATACTTTGGAAGAGAAAAACAAGCTTTCCTGCTTTTTCAACTCCCATTTTGTTTCTTAATTTTAAATTAACTAGTGATTGAACTGAACTAATTGAATAAACTGAAATTAAGAAAATACTCTCTCTACACCTGTGGAAGAAGCTACTGCTGTCAAAAGCTGGTTTTGCCCTTCAACAAACTCTGGTTCCATGCGCTTATCCAGGCACTCAAACCACTAAATTGGCTCAATGAGAACAGGATATCTACCAACCCAGACCACACGGACCAACAGGTTTGGGTGGCAGTGCTCTGATGGTGGATAAAGCTGGAACATGGCCACTGAAGTGTCCCTTTTAAACTAATTTTGCCATCTGTGGTGATAGTGATTAATGTTTTGGGGCACAATGACCTCCCACTGTGTCCCAAGGCATCCATGGCTCTGTTTCTTTTTTCTTCCTTGGCTCAGAGAAGGAAGAACATTGCTGAAAAACGGAGTCTTCCAAGGACTCAAAGGGCGTGCCAGTGAAGCATGAGCCAATCTCCTGATTACATAATGTTGGTTTTATGGAACACAAAGGGTTCCTAAAGTGTGTGGCTTAACACGGGTCTCAGCATCAGACTCAATAGCACAAGACAATTTAATGGAATCCCTGCATACTGAGCTTTCTCTGGGCATGGAGCTTGTCTTGCTACTCATTCCAGACAAACAGAACACAATAGGGACCCAGTACCTAGTTCTCAGCCAGATAGATGTCTAAGAACAAAAACCCTGGCAGCAACTTTTATGAGGTGAAGTTTAAAGCAGCTTTGTATACAGGAACTTGCATACAGTGCTCAGGAACATGCTTCTCCCAAGTTAGAAGGCACACCAAGTTCTTTAATTACTGGCAGACAGTGCCATCACAGGATGGGCACAGCTGGAAAGTAATAATTTGCTTTTGGATATCTTAGTTAGGTCCACAATGTCACACGAGTGCTCATAACCCTGTAGCTCCGAGGAGAAAGGGACCACCAAGTCAAAGGTTTGGGTGTTACCCTAATATAAGTATTTACGACTACTAAAAATTGTTGGGCCAGTTTGAGTTCAAATTGTATACTGCAAACACCAGAACTTAAAATATATACCCAATTCATGTTCACTTATATATACACTGTGTGTAAAGATAATAGAAATAGAAAACCACAACAGGTACAAATCATCCATTTCCTTTTTACAGAAGTATGCAAACACAGAATTTCTAAAAACACCTGACTATTCGTTTTTAACACAGGCATTCTACATCTCAAAACTATAATCGACAGCAAAAACAAGATGACGAGCTTTATAAAGATTAATGATTCAGTATACAGTCTGCTATGACATTTAGAGAAGTCTCCTTGTTACAAGCACATGAGAATTCCTAGGTAGCTCTTTAGTCTGTTTTATAGTGTGTTGAGAAAAGACTGTTCTAGAATTCCTGCATTGTAGTGGAGATCTATCTTCTTAATGTAGTGTTGACAATAGAGGTTCTGTACACTCTAAAAGAAAAAACATCCAACTCTGAGGCCACAACAGCAAGATCCTACCCAGTTCATGATGCTTTACCTGAGGCCCATGTCTTTAATTTCCTTTATACTGTTCTGCTCATTTAATTGCTGCTGAAAATGTGTTCTCTTGATTGTGTATGTAAATTCAACTTAAATAATTCACTCATATGACTGTATATTGTCCTTTTCTTTATTGTTCCGTCATTAGGATATTCATTATATTCTTTAATCAGAGGACCTCAGGGTACTGTCACTTTAGGTCTCTTGGGCGGTACTTCCTGTGCCTATTCTCAACACTGCTCCCTGGATGTACCTCTGTAAGGCCTCCTAGTGGTATTGTGGGAATATTAGCTGCTCCAGGCTCTGCAGACCTGGGTTATAATCTCCAGGTCCTTACATGGACTCACTCCAATTTGTTCACATCTTTCCTAAATTATGGTGCCTAGTATTGAACTGGGTACTCCAACTAGGGCCTCACCAGTGCCGAATAGAGCAAGACAATTACCTCCTGTGTCTTACATAAAACATTCCTGTTAATACACCCCAGAATCATATTTGCCTTTTTCGCAGCTGCATCACACTGATGATTCTCATTCAGTTTATGGTCCACTATAACCCCCAGATCCTTTTCAACAGTACTACCACCTATTCCCCATTTTGTAGTTGTACATTTGAATTTTCCTTTCTAAGTGAAATACTTTGCACTTGTCTTTATTTAATTTCATCTTGTTGAACTCAGATCAGTTCTCCAATTTGTCGAGGTCATTTTGAATTTTAAATCTGTCCTCCAAAATGCTTGCAACCGCTTCCAGGTTGCTGTCATCTGCAGATTTTACAAACATACTTCCTACTCCATCATCCAAGTCATTAATGAAAATATTGAATAGTCCCAAACCAGGACTGATTCTGCAGGACTTCACTAGATACGCCCTCTCAATTTGACAGAGAACTACTGATAACATGTTGACTACCAAGTTTTTTAAAAAGCCAAACCAGTGACTTGGTAGAAGTCACTGATTGAGCATCTGGAACCAGGATCCATTGAAGTGCTGAACCAGCTTTTGACAGCAGTAGGTGTAGAGAGAGTACTTTATCATTTCAGTTTATTCAGCTAGTTCAGTTAAATGACTATTCATTCAAAACTAAGAAAATGATGTGGGAGTTGAAGCAGAAAAACTTATTTTCTTCTTCCAATCTATAAATAAAAACTAAGTGTGAGAGAACAAGATCTACTAGTCCTCAAAACCTTAAAGAATATAGTAAACGAACGCATTATTAACCATTTTCTAATATAATTTAAAAAATTAAAAATTAATAATCTGAATAAATGTAAGTCAAGCTGTAATTGCTTAAATAAATGTGTAAAAATATAGTGCATCCTCCTGGTTACCAAAAAAAAGCACCAAATTTAGTGTAAAGGCTATATGTAATTGCAGGAATACTGTGCCGAATGAGACCCAAATACCAAATGTAAAGTCCCAAACTTAAATATATTAACATGGCCAACTAAACACAATTTCTTTTTTAAAAAATCCTATACTAGAGAAAGGGGGACTTCTTCAAACTTAGAGATTTTTTTAATACATATGGACTTTAAGCTTTAAAACAAAGTACTTTTTTTGTTGTTGTTAAGGTCCTCATCCAGAATAACTCTTAACCATGTGTTAGAATACTTTGTTGGAACAGGGCCTTAAATGTTATTCCCTCAGAAACGTCAAGCCAATCCACAAAGCAAACTCTAGGAGACTGTGTAAATACTGAGCATTCATTTCATACAGTCATAAAAGAGTTCTTGATACTATGATGAAGAGGCTGTGATTGTAAGGACATACTGTTATATAATTGGTAGCTCTGTCCATTAATTACTGAATTATGGAAAGCAGCAGGAACACATCTTTATAATCACAAAGAAAAATCTGTTTTTATATCCCACAGTTTATTTGGCAAGGCTTCTTCCTATTGTACGAGAAGTCTGATAGGAGCTACACACTCACTAAGTTATGTGAGTGAAACATACCTTATGGAAATGGTAAGATCCCTTGTCTTAAACACTGGGGTAGGATTTAGGACAGCATAGCCTTACAAAATTTGCTATATTTTAGCAAAAATGCATTTACTAATTATGTAATTTGGCAGCCCTTCTTTGAATAGTACTGGAGACTCCCTTATCCACTAGATCTGGTATCTCTTAATTTTGAAGTATGTCTGAGACGTGTAAGGTGACTGCAGGAGGATAACATATAGAAGGGCACAATCCTACTTGCTAACAAGAAATAACATTCTGAAAGTTTGGTCAAATACTTGGTTGGTATTATATTGCTGGGGTTTACATTGCTGAATGTGTAGTAACCATGCTTCTGTGCACTAAGACAGAAAGTTAAAAATAATAGAAAAAAAGACAACTGAAAAAAATGATGAACATATATGGTTTACTGGGAATTCCTCTTAGGGAGGAAGCTGTCTACATATATTTCAATGGCTCTGAAATCATAGAAAATACTTGAAATTTTAAAGACAATCTGTCTCTCTCTTCAGGTCTGGAAAAATGAATGCTTAGATCTGCAGGCCCTATTCTGAAAACCTTATGTAGTAAACAGAGCTACTGGTTAACACTCACTATATGCCAATGCTATTATTTTGTGTACAATCTATTGCCAAACCTAATAGTCTATTTCTTTTTACTTACTTTATGTACAAGAAAACAACTATATGCTTCTAGAAAAATGTTTTTATTGAATTACATTTTAAAACTAAGTATTTCTTTTGTCATTTACTTTTATGTTAATTTTTTTTTCCTGTTTCCAAATGTTCTGTGTGCAGCAGATTTTTGTATTGACAATGAATAACTGCATTTCAGGAGTCAGTAAGGAGGAGGAAGCTAGAACTGATGACTGCTGGATAGGGAGCTGCTTGGACTTTTGGCATGTGGAAAGGCATGGGAGTCCCAGGTGACCAGCTGAAGCTTTTGGCATCTGTCAGAGGATGCACCCTTCCCTACCTCTTGTGGGTAGATTTGACAAATATTGTAGTTAGGAGAGATGTTTGACTCCTAGTAGTCCCCCCACACCCAGACCCCACCAGCAACCTTAGATAGTAACCAATTGTGCCATTACTCATTACCCAAAATCTTCCACTGCATGTAACAATGGTGGAGACACTGGCTGGATATTTATTTTCTGAATATCAGCAGTGAAATGATTAACAATACTGCCATTTAATACTATCATATTTTATGTTTCACAGTGAATGCCTCATTAAATGAATGGAAAAGTCCACTCGTGGCAGAACTATTGTTTCAAGATTTGGAAAGGAAGACAGAAATGCAGCAATTCACATTTGTTTCACAATTGGACATTCTGAGTCAGAAACATAAGAGATATCCTCCTTTACACAAAATTTTTTAGATTTAGTAGGTCTAGCGACCAATTCTAGAGTTTGTGCATCCACCTCCACGAAACCGACATGGCTTTCTAAAATATTCTAAGCTTAAGGCATCAGAGACTGCAACTCCTAAATTTGGGAATATACAGACACAGAAGACATTTGGAAATATACAGACACAGAACACAGAAGATATAAGGCCTTATTGACCCAAAGCTTACCACAGCTAAGGGGTGCTTAGCTAAAAGCAGTCTCAGAACCATTTAGACATGTTGCTTTATTCATTGATTAACTTGGCTATTACCAGTCTTTTTTCTTACTTTTAAGTAAAACCCTAAAGAAAATAAAGACCTGCTCATAACCAGATTATTTTTGGAACATGAGACGGTATTATCACTAGGATTGTTTGGCTGCTTTGCAACAAAGCAAAAGCTTAACTCCCCTATACAACAGAACTCTTGAGCGACAAGTATATCAAATTAGTTATGGCAAAATTTGAATTAAGTAGTATTGCCTAGAAACATACAGAATTTAGATGGTATAAAAATGATTCGATTTCTAGTTCAAGCAAAATATCAAGATGAAAAAAGTACAAATCATGTTGGAATTAATTAATTTAAAAGGCTAAACAGTAATCAAAATTATATGATTTTGCATTCCAGTACTTCAGCCTCAGGGCAAGAAATCAATGCTTTATTTTATAACATTCTGTAATGTGATGGGATACCATATCAGAACATAAACAATGACAGTTTTCCCAGTATATCAATGGTTAACCACTAAATATAGCGGGTCATAATTCAAACAAGTGCAATTTTCAATCTGATACATATTGACACTTATTGGTTTTTAAAACTGGTCACTAAAATAATCTACATGTTGGAAAGGGTGTGGAGTTTTCAGATTTGGCTAACGGCTGCTGTAAACCATAGTTATTTCAGTTTATCTTAAATTGATTTAAGCTAAACAGAAATAGGCCTGATTTACACCAGAACAGGAGTGTATACAGAGATGTTTGAACTGGTATCTAAGCTGTTTAAAAATAAATAAATAAATAAAATCACACCATATATTAAATTGTAGAAACTCTCTCATTTAGAGAAGGCCCATCACTAACTTCATACAAGCTATCTTTATCCAAATTGAACATTTCAGATTTTTTCCACTACTGCCCTTCAAATATGTAGCATCAGCATAACATATTAAGTTTATTGTTTTATATTTATCAGGCTTGTCTCTTGAGCCTTCTGTACATAATATAATTATGCGTCATTTTATAAATTTTAGATCTCTTTGAAGTGGAGTGAAATTCTAACAATGCGTAGAATGTCATGGAAAGAATTCTGAATTATATCTAGAAACAAAGACATCTATCACTTACCATCACCTCTACATTCCGATGAGGTTCCACAAATCCATGAACTGTCAATTTACGAAGCACTGAAAAATACGGTAATATCTTGCTTGCACAGTCTCTTTTTGTAGAATGCTGTCCCGCTCCCCATCCACCCAGATATCAAGTAATTAAACATATGGCTACAATAACCATTGCTATAAAAGCCTCTAATTATTCAAATATGAAATAAATTGCATTTATTTTGCACCTTTAGGCTCCTCACCCGCATTCTTGCCACTAATTTAAGTTTGGCAGTACTACTTTAAGGTAGAGCTGGGTAAATAATTGATTTTGTGATTAGCTGGCAGTTCTGAAAATTAGGAAAAAAATGTAAATTCAGAAAAATTTCAGTCAATTGAAAAGGTCCGATTCGGGTTGAATAAAACATATTGTTCGACCTGAAACATTTTGTTTCTGGGCATTTTTAAAGGGCAAGATTCACAAGCGGCTGGAGGGGGAGGAGGAAGTGGTGGTAGTTATGGTGCCTCCCATTCAAGCTTTAGCCCACTCGTCAGGGCATTCACCCAGGATGTGGGAGACCAGGGTTCAACTCCCACCTCTCCCACATGTGGAGATGGGACCTGACCATGGGTCTCACACTGCAAGACTGTTCCCCATCCACTGAGCTATGGGATATTCTGAGGTGAATCCCTCAGATTCTCCTGGTAAAGCTCTTCCATTGTGTCTAAATTAAATAGCCATTGGAGCAGGGACATCAAGTTGGGTGTCCCACCTCTCAGGTGAGTGCCCTAATAAGTAGAATATAAAGTCAGATTCTCTCTCTTTCTGGCCAAATGATTATTTATACAAAGTGGAACAGCTTCAGCACAAGAGATTGAAAAAGACCCACCCTGGACTACCCTAAAGCCCATGGATTAAGACAGTCTTCCGCAATGTCGGAGATACAAGTTCACGTCCCTGCTCCAAAGATTTATTATTTATACACAGTGGAACAGATTCAACATGAGAGATTGAAAGAGACCCACACCATAATATCAGATAGCCCAGTGACTGGGGAATCTCCTGAAATGTGGGAAACCCAAGTTCAAATCCCTTCTCCGCATGAGGCAGAAAATTGAACCTAGGTCTCCCACATCATAGCTTAGTGCCCTAACCACTGGACTACAAGTTATAAGATGGACAGTGGCACCTCCTCCTCCTGCCATTTTGTGAACGGTGCCTTAGTGTCCCCCACCCCAAAAAATGTAATTAAAACCGTTCAGCAAAATTCATGTCAATACCACAAATACTTTCAGCGCCCTGAAAAATTAATTTTTTGGTAAATTTACTATTTGCTAATAAATATTCACCCAGCTCTACTTTAAGGTTCCATTCATGTCAAAATAAGGCTAATGAACAATAATGAAAAAAAGGTAACTCCAAAAAGGTTCTTCTTTTCCTGGTCTATCAAAAGGATCCAGTGCCCTAATTTTACCATTTCTGGAGTTCTCTCACAGGGAAGAGAACGTGTCTTTTCCAGAAACTCCTGAATACTACAGCCCACAAAGCCTTCCTTTTAAATCTTCTGATGTTTGTAGTCCATACACAGAAGGAATACAGACACCCCCCGACTTCCGGAACGGAACACCTTGCGTAACTCGAATTTTGCGTAAGTAGGAAACATGTACCTGACAATTATAGAAAAAAAAAAAAAACCTACCTATTTCTAGCTTACGGAACTTTTTCCTTCAGTGCAGATTTGCGTACATTGGGTTTGCGTAACCTGGGGGGTATCTGTAGAGAGATTCACAAACCACATCTCTTGAAACCCAACATAACAATAGGGACATCCATCTCACCAGCACAAAGTAGAAACAGCAACTCTAAAATGTGCAACAGCTATACTAAATGGCTAACAACTATTAAAGAAGTTATCCAAAATAGCCAAGTTATAACTATTTCCAATTGGTTTCTGATAAAAGCAGATCCAGGTACACAGAGCAAGGTTTTTCATTTCCTATGTAGCCCAGCCCAACTGCTAAATACTCAAGTAGAAAAGAACTGAGATTATTGGGCTCCAAGTGGCTTTGCTAGAAGATTCTAAGGTTCTCACAAGATGCCAGGGACACCGTAATCCAACAACAGGAATACACAAATGTCACCTGAATAACCTTATTTCATCGTTTATAGTACATTAAGCACACATATTTAACAATCTTTTTAATTATTACCTTTCAATGACAACAGAGTTCTTTCTAATGAATTTGTAGCTGCAGCTTCATCTCCCGTAAAGATCTGTTGTAGGAATGTATCTGTGTGATGATTCCATAAGGAACAGGCAAAACTATAAATTCCAGATGCTAACTGTAAAGAAAAACCAATACACTTGAATCCCAATATTTGACACTAGTACAATAAATGTATAGATTCACAGATCTTTAAGGCCAGAATGGAATGTTAAATCTAGTCTGACCTCCACCATAACATAGGCCATCATCACTCCTATATAATAGCTTGTTTGATTAAAAAAAAAATCTTCCATAAAGGCATCCATTTTTGATTTTGAAGACAGCGAAGACACAGAGAACCCCCACTTCCCTTGGTAGTTTGTTTCAATGATTAAAAATGTGTTCTTTTATTTCTAATTTGAATTTATCTGGCTAATCCACATGGCTACAAAGAGAGTTTTGCGACAATAATTCTTCTTGCTGGAGAACAAAATTGGAGAACTGGTTTCTTTACAAACAAGTTTCAACGTGACATATATTGTAGATTGGTGAATGTCTGTTACACTCTATTCCAATTTCTAGTCATATTTATGTTGTTTAATAAAAAATAGTATTGTACAGTATGTGCACGTGTTGAACCCTATTTTGATGACAGCTGCATAGTTATGTATATTCTTTACTGATGAAGCATATTAAACTGATTTTCTGCCCCAAGTTATTTAAGTTAAGAAATTATAGTGAGGTTGAGACAGATAGTTAGTTGCAAATTTAAACATATGGAGCAAGTCTTTATATATAAATAACTCAATTTACATTTCAAAAACCATAATCTTTATTTTTTTAAATCACTGTCTTTTATCCATCCTGCAACAAAGGGGCATACTGTATTTAGAAAATATTATAAGAAATAAAGGTTACTTTCATGTAAGAAAACAGAATTATGCCCTAATTTCCCAGAATGAGTTATTCCAACCTAGAGAATAAGGATTTAGTAGTCTGCACTGAGAGTTTCCTGTTCATTTATCCCATTAGATGGAGTGCAGTGGCACTTGATTCAGCCTCACAAAACACAGGTAAGCCACTAGAGACCAAGAACATTAATGCAGAGTCCTTGTGCCTCTAAGTTCCCCAGCATCTCATTTCCTCACTCTGGCTCTCTGGCAGCACAGCTCTGATGGAGCCATCCTCTGAGAGGCATCCAACCAGCCACTGTTCCCAGAACACTTATTGTGTATGGCACGTAACAGCTGTCCACACTGCCAACCAGGAGTCAGTGCAAGTTAACACTAGTTCAGTCACAATAAATCTGCAGTGGGCAAACTCGTGGGTTTGGAGATGAAAGGGAAATTATACTACTGAAAGCAACTGCTCCTCAAGCCCCACAATGCTTTGAATCCATGAAGTCTGAAGTCTGTAGAGAACCTGCAGAGTTTCCGTTGTTCCCTGGGAGGAGAGTGCTGCAGAGATGGCTTTCCCCCACTGAGCTTGCATTCTCCTCGTGTAAATGGAAAGGAGCATTTGAGCCTTTTAAACATTTCCAGGGGTAGTATGGGAAAAGCACAAACACGCTTGGTTGAACATTTAACAAGTGGGCAAAAGATGCTGGCATCGTGGGCCAATCGGAGGTGGAAGTCAACATTTCAATAATGAATGAGACAGGACAGGTATGATAGGGATAAGCTGTTAAGCGCCATGAAAGTGAATGCAAGTAGTAACTTATGTTTGATACAAACAGGGAAGAGGGAGCCAGTGGTGGGGTGACATAATGGGCTAGGAGAATAATCTTTGCAGCAGCATTTTGAATGAGTATGAAGAGAGTAAGGATGCATTTGTCAAGACCATACAAACGGATGTTGCACTAGTTGAGACATGATATGAGGACAGCTTGGACAAGAGTTTTAGATGTGTGGATTGGTAGAAAAGGTAAAATTGACATGTTATGAAGAAAGACGAAGCAAAATTTAGACATAGCCCAGACATGAGGACCTAGAACACAGATCCGAGTTAAAGATGATGCCCAGGTTACAAGCCTGAGTGACAGGCAGGATAGCAGTGTTGTCCACGGTGATCAAGAAAGAAGGAAAGAAAGAAGACAGCCGGAGGCGGGGGGGAAATGGGGGATACGAGCTTTTCTTTTTAGCCATGCTGAGCATGAGCGATGGCTAGACATCCCCAGATATTAGTTTGAAAAGAAAGAGATAGGTCTGGTATAAAGAGGAGGATCTGTGAGTCATCAGCATAGAGATGGTAGTTGAATTTGTAGATGAGATTATCCAGAGATAAGGTGAAGAGAAGGACAGAGCCCTGCAGAACCCCCAAAGAAAGCTGAAGGATGGATGAAGAGGATATTCTGAAGGACACACTGAAGGAGCAATTAGAGAGGTAGGAGGAGAACCAGAGAAGGAGAGAGTCAGGAGTACAAGATTTCAAGAGGAAGAACAAGGTTGACTATGTCAAAAGAGGCTGACAAGTCAAGAAGGGTGAGGATGAGGTACTGGTTCTGAGCTTTAACTAGAAAGAAGTCATTAGAGACTTTGGCGAGTGGAATGCAAAGTGGGGAAGTTGGACTGGAGAAGGTTGAGGGTGGCACTGAAGGAGAGGAACCTCAGACAGTTATTGTAGACAGTGCCGTTAATGAACTTTAACTATCCACGATGACTCCAAGATCTCTTTTGTGACTGATAACAGCTAATTTAGTCACTATCATTTTGTACGTATAGTTGGGATTATTTTTTCTAACATGAATTACACTTTGCACTATCAATACTGAATTCATAAACCACAGTCTCACAGAGTAAACCATGGTTCTCACTTAGCCAACAGCGATGTAAACCAACAGTTATGATGAAAAAAACAATTTTTTTTTGCTAATTAACAAAAGTACATAACCCAGGGACCTCACTATACGCTATTGTGAATTAAGCTAAACTGCATTGAGGCTATTTTCATTCAGAATGAATGTGTCCACACTGGGGTTTAAAGCAGTTTAATGAATCCACTTTAAATTTACACCTGTAGTTATTTCGGATTAGCTTTCCTGAGAGGCCCTGTGTAGACAAGCCCCTTAGTTTGTTTCACTCTCAAATCATGGGGTCAGCACTAGCATCTTCATACAGATGACACACTGACCTCAGAGAGCAGTTTAGGAATCAGAGGCAGCATGCTGTATTTTCATATGGACAGCTGAACCAGATGTTCAAAATAAGCTTACCTGGGTTAGGGGCTTTTGCTCACCCAAACTCTTGCAGGTCATCTTATGCAGGAAGCATTAGGGAGTAACTTGTACAAGAAAGCGGGTCAATCAGATCACAAAGGCATTGCAGCAACTTGATGCGCCACATTTGGCAGAATGATTGAGGAAACTTGCGTTTCAAGAAGAATGCAAACAGGTCTGTTAAGGCCACAACTGCCCCCAATCAAACACAAGAGACCAAAAGACAGAGGAAAGGAGATTATATTTCCCTAGAAGTATTACAGTGTAGCTTAGAACATCTACCACATAATTATATTTTCCCTGAAGGATGACTGACCACCACAGCAAAGAGATTTTTCGGTCACGTTTTTCTCCTCTGAATTTGGACGCCTACTAATGTGCACTCAGACAGCCCCAATTTGTTCAGTTAAATAGTACCGAGCATCCTGAATACACACCCTTGCACAACATTAACCTGAATATTAATGCACGGCCTATAATGAATTTGGAAATACCATCAGCACCTTTCTAGATAACCATCGTTTAATATAATTCTTGACAGAATGGTACCAATACAGTTCCCTGTGCCTAACTGTGCTAGAAAACAGCTTTATAAAATATACTTCATATTAGTTGACACTGGGTTGAAGAAGCACTATTCTATAACCTATAGGACAAATCTATATGCTATACTCTACAGATTTGTATAATGGAGAGAATAGTTGCATGATTTGTCATTTTCATTCAGACCTATTAAATTAATACAAGCAGTTGAATGCTGCCTGGGATAATTTAATTTTATTTCTGCCTCTGCCACAGAGTTCCTATGTGATGTTGGGCAAGTAATTTAAACCAAACTTCTTATAGGCAGTCACTAATTGTATTCTCATTTTCTGGGTGTTGGTCTTGAGAATCCAGAGTCTGATTTACAGAAATGCTGAGCACTCACAGCTGCAACTGAAGTCAACAGAAGTTGAGCTTTCAACATATAAAGTGCTACATAATGTGAAGTACTCTAAAGAATCAAGCCGTAGGCATCTCATACTGGGCCCCCAAAATTAGTGAACAATTTTGACCTTCTGCTCTCCATGTGTAAAATAGGAATAATAAAAACCCCTCACGTCACAAGGATGTTGTGAAGATTAAATGATGACTGTGAAACACTCTGATACTAAAGTGATGAGTGTCACAGAAAAGCCCATGAATAAATTAATAATTTTGTATTCACAGCACTGTTTGAATAGTGTGCAGTAAATAAAGCTTAAGGTCACACATTAGACGAGTAACTGAAATGCTGAATATCTTATTAATTGAGCTCTCTCCATCTTGTGCACTGAATGAGGCAGGGGTCCTGTGGCAAGAAATAGTTATAATGTAATTAAAGACTGTATCATAATGCAGGGGTTGAATTAAGGTTGTACAGGATACTATAACACTATCAATTTCCTAATTTTTGAGTGTTTCATTTTGCAACTTTAATATTTTTTTCAGTTTTATTTCTGTAATTTCCTAGGTTTTTAAAAAAAGCAAACTGAAAAAACAAATTCCATCACATGGCATCATAATGACTCCCTTGTGGTTCTTCTGCAGAGTTGGAACCTTTAGGTCCACCATACACAGACCTCTGCCACTTTATAGGATGGAATTACTGATAGCAATAGTAGGTTGTTACCCTCTACGTAGAGCAGTACTAGAGGGAGATGACACACACACTTGGCCAGTGGGTTTCACAGATATTTACAAGAATGGCAAAACTTAGCAACCTTGGGTCCAGGCTCTGGAGAGGAGTACTCTAGAGATCACAGACCCTTCTGCTTGTCTGTCTTGTCCTCCCCACAGCTTATTCTTCTACCCCATCACTACCAACCTGTCTTCCTATCCCATTTCCAGTCTCCACTAAAGTTTCTTATCCCAGTGCCAGTCTCCTTCCCAGCCAATTCTAGTTTCCATCCTACCAGCTTCTTGTCCAATCTGTCTCTCTTTCACTGTGATGCGCACATACAGGATTTTCATCCAATCTCAGTCTCCCTTTTCACCAACAAAACTCTTACCTGACTCCTTGTCCCAATTTCCCAGCAAGTCCCAATTCTCCCCGCTGTTCCTGGCTCATCTCTCCCTCTCTCCATTCTCCTTCTCCTCACTGGTTCTCTGTCTCTTCCTCCAGACAATCCCACTATCTCCTCTTTGCCTGATTCCTTCACTGGCTCCCAATCCAAGCCACCCACACACACCCCAGCTCCCAGTCCCAGCCTCCATGCCCAATCAGCCCCAACCTCCAGCTCCCACTCCCAGCCTCCTTACCCAACCAGTATCAACCTCCAACCCCCATCTGCCAGTGCCAGCCTCCATCCCTCATTTCTCATGGCCAGTCTCTCTGCCCAGTCAGTCCCAAAATCCCCTCTTCATGTATCTCATTCCCAGATGCCTTGCCCACTAGTCTCTGTCATCCCCCAATGATTACAAGTCCTAGTTTCTGCCTTCTCCCCCAGTTCCAGTCTCACCAGATTCCTAGTCCCAAACTATTCCTTTCCCATCTCCCCAGTCCAGCTCTTGTTCCCCTCTGCATTCAAGCCAGGCGGCTTCCTCCTCCACACTTCCCATGCACCAGCAGGGGGGTCACTGACAGCACTGGAGAGGCAGACTCCTGGCTCTCAGTTCCATTGCCCGGCCTCACTTTGGCACATTCCATTCTTCTGAGCCACCAGAGCCTAGTGTGGAGCATTCCGAGTCACTCTGAGGTATGATTCACATTCAGTCTGGCCAGCAATAGGAGTTGTTAGGGAATGGAGCATGCTCAGTGTGGAGGGAATCTTCTTACACTTTAGCTGCTGAATTCTAAGAATTCTCTATTGAGCATGAGCAAACCAAGTTTTGCTCGGCCAAATTTGGGGGACAAGCAAAAGAGACATCCCACCTGCTAAATTTTGAATCTCTAATCCAAAGCAGGGAGGCTATGATGGGGTAGTGAATCCTAATGGTCACCCATCCCCTCATGTGGCATGGCCCTTTAAGAGGCTGAAAAGATGCTGCTTAGGAAGACCTAGAAAATCTGATTAACAGAACCCAGCTCCAGGGGTGAGAGCTGGGAAGACTCCTAGGTAAGGAGAAAGCGTAAAACTAACCAATATAGCTGGGTTCCAAAGAGGAGGGCTGGAGATTCTTGTGTAAGGAAGCACTGAAAAGGGGTAATCCCAAGAAGGAACTGGGAAGATTTCCAGACCAGAGGCTGTTTACTGACATAGTAAAGAGTCTCCTGAAGGAAGGAGCCAGAGACAGCTAGTTAGCAAGCCTGAGGTGATGAATGTCCCTGGATGTGTCTGAGTGAGCTTCTGTTTGTGCTTATGGCTGTCAGTAATAAATGATAAATAATAAACCCTTACAAGGAGGTTGCTTTTTGATTAAAAAAGCTGTCTTGACTTGTTTATAACCCGGCTTAAGGGAAGTGAGGAAGGGTTCTCCTGCAATGCCATATCTAACCGAAAGGGGCACACACTGGGGTAACCTCCACACCAACACAGAGCCACTAAAGCCTCTCAGAGAATAGGTCACCAGAATTTTATTTTATTTTTAAAAACAGCAGAACAATGTATTTTTCCCTAGCCTCATACTTATAAATGGCTGAATCATTTTGGTTGAAATTTAAACAAAAAAATCAGCCTGAGGAAGACACCCAGCATGGAAAATTTCAGCCCAATGGTTAAAAGTTTGAGAGAGTTATGAGCAATTGAAAACAGGATCTTATCATGGAAAGCATCAGGCAACCTAATAGGTAGTGCTACCAGCTCACCTTAGCCTACTTTTTTTTTTAAATACATCACATATTATGACTTGTCATGTATAGAGAATAAATAACCATTTATGACACCCTTTCACATGTGCACCTCCCATGTACCCACTTCCACAGCCCATCACAAACATTTATAAACAAATACATAACATAGCATTTCTACTCTTCTCTCAAGCCCAGAATATTACATGTTGCATTATTAATAGCGTTACTTACGTCATAAAAAAGTTTCCTATCTGCAGCAAGTCGTTTAGATGCCAGCGTCTTAGTAACATGATAAAAAGTAAGTAATGCTCTGTGTTGGCGGAGATCATCTTGGACTTTCACTGATTCCAGAAGAGTAGGAATAAGCTCTGGCCACTGTCTAGGGCAATCCAGCCTAGCAACTTTAGCAATCAACACAGAGATCTGAGTGGCTATCTGCAGAAAAAAGAGTTACCAGAAAGACACACATAAGGCCTAGGTAGATTTAATAAAATTTACATTCTAGAAACTTAATTTCTGTTACATTTAATAAACCTGCTAATAAAATTTTAAGCTACTTGTTTAGTTGAGGCTTAGTCAACATTTTACTGTATTACTGTATTTTAAAGGGCAGCTAGAGTCACTATATGCATTTTAGCAGCCTATTATAGTTAGGATTCAATAGAGACCATTCTTGGCCCAGTGAAAAGTTTTTAATCTGACTTCACTTCTCTTCCTGTTTAATTCTATAATTTTTTTCTTATACAGAGAGAGAGAAAGAGAGAGAGAGAGGATAAACACACACACACATATATAACAGCTAGGTAATGTTAACAATACATATGGCCCTCATCAACATAGTATATGAGCACCACTTCCTGTTTCAAAACATGGCCTTTTTGCCTTCTCTATTTGTATAATGGTAAGAAAAGTGTAGGCAGAACATAATGCCAAAAACAGGCTGCAGCCTCAAACTGCCACAAACTAAGTGCTTGGAGCCACTAAGCATTTAAGCACATGCTTAAAGTTATGCACTCAAGGCACTCTACTGGATCAAGGACTTAACTTGCTAGTCTGCTTCAAGCAGCAATAACTTGTCCTATTTCCCCCTGAGATTTGCCCTGGATGACTATGTTTTGGGGGCATTATGGGTTGGATTCATGAGCAGGACTCATCACCCTTTTCCAGCAGCAGCCAGTCTGTACCAACCGTATTTGGCAATTGGCTATTCTGAACTGAAGGCTAGTAGAAGTGAAGACCTTCCTTCCCAATAAATCAAGTCATATACCCTCCTTATTCACCAGAGTAGATCTAGAGTGTTGCTGTATAGATGTTTCTGTGGCAGCCTGGACAACCAAAGAGTTAGAAGCAGAATGAGAAAAGAGAAATTCTGCCCCTCTGGATGGGACAAAATAGTGGTTTTCTTTCCTTTTAGGGGTGTGACGAACTGGGACTGTTCTTACTGTGGTCTTTGAATGCTGACAGGGGAGTGTGGCTAGGACAGTCTGCATTGGGGGATGGGAGACTGACCGACGGGGAAAAACCGAGCATGGAAC